TAGTGTGAGTACTATTGGTTTTTATTTTGCTGGATCAACACTAATGAAAAATTTCATACAAATTAATGAATAAATTAAAAAATAAAGGACCAAGGATAGACCCTTGGGAGATGCCAGATGGAACGGGTTTGAATTTAGAACAAAAACCGTCGATAACCACACGTTGACTGTGATTAGAAAAATAATCAGAAATTAAGCTAAGAAGGGGACCGGTGATACCAAATTTTTGAATTTTAAAAATAAGTTGAGAATAAGAATTGCAGTCAAAAGCTTTGGAAAAATCTGTGAATATAATGTCATATTGTAATTTAGAGTTGATTGCATTAAGTGCGGTGGGTAAAAACTAGCAAGATTAGTTTGAGTTGACCTACCTGGAATAAACCCGTGTTGAAATGAACTTAAAACAGGAGAAACATGGGAAAAATTTGATCAAAAAGAATACGTTCAAATATTTTGAAAAGAGAGCTTGTTTCCAGACATCAGGAAATTTGTCCGTGGAAAGAGATAAATCAAATATTTTTTTTTAAGGGAAAAGAAAGCGGAACAGAACCAGCTTTAAGCAAATGGTTACTGATACAATCACAGCCAACGGCCTTATGTACACAAAGCTTACTTAGATGATCTGAAACTGCATCAGCACTGACGGTTACCGAGGAAAGATAGTCCAGGGGGTACTCAGGAAGATCAGGATCTTCAGGGAATTGAGACTGCTGTTATTAGTATTAAAAAATGAATTGAAGTAGATACTAAAAGCATTAGATTTTTTCAAAGAGGTGGCATGGACTTGACCTTGATAATGAAGTACAGAGGGCAAAGTTGATGACTTCCGTAATGTTCTAATCCAAGACCAAAATCTTTTAAGATTGATGTTGAGATCGTTTGAAAGAGCAACAACATACTGTCTGTACCGCTGATTACAAATTTTTTAAAATTTGTTTTGGCCATTCTAAAATCTTCAACAGCAAGTCGAGGTTTAGTTCTTTTCTTAATTTTAAATAATTTTTCCTTAAGTTTTAAAGGGTTGTATAATTCATGATTAAACCAAGGTGGGAGTTTTCTTTTTGGTTTAAACACAGGAACAAGATCTTTAATTGTTGCATGGAGTAAATAATAAAATAAAGAAGTGGCCTCATTAACATCATTAGTTAAATCAAGGATGTTCCAAGGAATAAAATTGTAAGTATTTACAAGGTCATTAAAATTGAGTTTTTAAAAATTGTATAAAAGTCTATTATCATTATTATTAAAATTATTAGTATTATTATTGCACTGAAATGTATAAAAAATAGACAAAGATTCATGATCAGATTTGAAAATATTTAATCCAGACGTAATACTAGAAGGGTCGAGATGTTTGCTACAAAGTACCAAGTCTAAAATCTTATTGTTACATGTTATGGAAGTATTGCACTGATAAAGGCAATTAATATTTGATACTGTGTCAATAAAAAGCTGACTCATTAGGTTCACGTCGAACTTTTATCTAGATATAGATCCACTTAACTAGTTAAAAGTTCGACGTGAACCACTCAATTATAGCTAAATAAAGGAATTAAGTCACTTAAGTGACTTAACTTTACTGGAATAACGGTAAATTAACTTGCTTAACGGTAAATTCGGCTCCGATTACAAGGACACGATTACGTAACGTAGGCATCTAAGCCAGCAACAGCATCGAAGTAGTCTCATTAGTCTGGTTTTTAGAAATTTTTTGTAATATTATGGGTAAAAAAGAATGTAGGTAAGAATGGCCCCGGAAAAAATGGCCCCAGAAAAAATGGCCCCGGAAAAAATGGTCCTGGAAAAAATGGCCCCGGTAAAAATGGCCCCATAAGACAGGTAGGTAAAAATGGCCCCAATGAAAAATTCGGTAATAGAAATGATATATTTTTTTTCTAATCTTCAAATATTTAAATACTGTATAAGCAAGAATTGAATCAAGAAATAAAAAATGGCCCTCAATTATAAAATTCAAGAAAAAAAATTAATAATAAATAAATAAATAAATAAATGCTGTAAAATATCCTGTAGTGAAAATTTAATTAATAAATCAACATAAAGAATATACATATTTGAGAACTAAAATAAATTAGTTTTAGCTCCAATGAGTAGCTCTGGGAGTAGGTCTAAGTATTTTTTTAAATTAATATTATTAGATATTATTACTATATTTGCAGTCAAATAATTAATATTATTTGTTAGAGGTTTCATAAGGTACTTTAGAGGGCGACATCGTGTGTCGTCACTTGTCACGTGATTATGCGTGACATCTTTAGCTTGGGCATTGGCTTGGGTCAGTGGCGTCCTGTAAGCGAGCGGGATT